GAAAGGTGTCAGGAGTGTTGTGTGACAGAAGAGTGGCAGCAAGAATCAAAGGAAAGGTGTACAAGACAGTAGTGAGACCAGCTATGCTGTATGGATTAGAGACTGTAGCAGTGAGGAAAAGACAAGAGGCAGAGATGGAGGTAGCAGAGATGAGGATGTTGAGGTTCGTTTTAGGAATGACCAGGATGGACAGGATTAGGAATGAGCACATCAGAGGGACAGCTCAGGTTGGCTGTTTTGGGACAAGGTCAGAGAGACCAGATTGAGATGGTTTGGACATGTGCAGAGGAGGGATAGTGGTTATATTGGTAGAAGGATGTTGGAGATGGAGCTGCCAGGCAAAAGGTCAAGAGGAAGGCCAACAAGGAGATATATGGATGTGCTAAAAGAGGACATGAAGTTAGTTGGGGTGAGAGTAGAGGATGCCGAGGATAGAGTTAGGTGGAAACAGATGATTGCTGTGGCGACTTTTAATGGGAACAGCCGAAAGAAGAAGACACACACACATACACCACCTCCTTTTACCTTACCAGAAGCAGCAGTGCGATCTCCCCGATGTACAGAGTGGGTCTCTAGCTGAATCTCGGAATCTGGGACTTTGTCAGAAAGCCAAGTCTCAGTGAGAATTAGAGCACAGCATTCCCTTATTTCCCCATTGTGTTGTAATCCTAGCTCCTGGCTCGTCCAATTTGTTTTCCAGAGACTGTACTCTAGCTAGGAAGAGGCTGGGTGGTGGCGGTCAGGTAGCGCAAGCTTTTAGCCTAGCATGGAGCCCTCCTTTCCTGCCCCATTTGCGTCTCTGTCTCCAGGTCGCTCTCCTGATTTCAGCCTGCTCGCTCGTGCCGGGTGCTTCGGGGTCTTCTTGGGGGTGATGGTGGTAGTTGCGGGAGCGAACAATGAGTTGCAGCCCCGGTGGTATGAAACCAGTAAATTCCTGGTGGCTGAGTGAGTTGGCGATATCCAGCAATGCCTATCTGTTTGTATGTTAGCAATTCTTGACATTTGTGCACTGCAGAAAGAGTAAAAAATCACACAAAAAAAGGAAATGAAGAAAAAGCCGGCATTCAAGAGTGGAATGCACAAACACGTCTGCCTCGGTGGGCGCCATGTGTAGTAAATTTAGTAAATCTCTTAAATTCATAACACTCATAACCATATCATCAGCTGACAGATTTTTAATTTTTTTTTTTACTGCAGTACAACTATGTATTCACCACTGTGCTCTTCCAAACTATGTTTCTGCCACCAGTTAATTTGCACTAATCTTAATGTCAAGTGATTGCCAGCCATGGGTACTTGTACCCCAGGAGGTACTCCTGCAGTTGTTGCGGGTATGTGGAAAGGTTGTAGTTTAACTAATTAATAGAAATTCTGATTTGATGCACATAGTGAGCCACTTGAACATTGTCTTGTCGAAGAAAACTAGTTCTCAAATGAGTAGAGGTCTAAACAGTTAGCTAAACGCAATGGATGAATAGCTAAATGTACACTCATGGAACTTTTATTTAAAAGTATTGGATATTGTATTATAAAGCTTAATGTAGTAGATAAAGGCTGAAATCTCTAGCCTCTCTTTCTACAAGTGGTAGCAATATGAATGCAAACATGGCCAAACAGACCTAATCACCATTCAGTTGAATGAAAACTTGGTGTACTAAGTCCACTTTGTTCACTAAATACCATAAACAAATCATGGTTCAAATGAACACTACTGGAGGATGACACTGATGCAAGGGTACTGAAGTTTATCTGACAGGGAGGTACATCAGACAAAAGTGTAGGGATCCACTATATGATAACACAAATGTTTGGTGCGGATCTCTGAAAATGCTTCTTTATTCATTATTGAGCATCATATGTTCTATTCATTTTCAGTCCAATTTGATTTTAATCTTATAGCACCAAATCACAAGAAAAGTCATCTCTAGGCACTTTAGTTTACTTTTCTGAGTATCTTTATTGCTGGTGAGCACAAATTTCTTCTACACGTACTTCAACATTTATGTGTGGTACAAGAACATAAAATGTGCTCTGGCTTTTTTAAGCATCATGCTGTTGCATTTCAATCTATCAAAATGTTGCTGTAATGTGTTGAAAAGCAATGTGGGAAAAAAATCACATCCAGCACCCGGACTATTGGCACAGGCACCCCCCAGGGATGTGTGCTCTCCCCGCTGCTGTTCTCCCTCTAAACCAAGGACTGCACCTCAGGCGACCCCTCTGTAAACATCCTGAAGTTCGCAGATGACATAATGGTCATTGGTCTCAACCAAGATGGTGATGAGTCGGCCTACAGACAGGAAGTTGAACAGCTGGCACCGTGGTGTGGTCGCACCAACGTGGAGCTGAATACGCTCAAAACAGTGGAGATGACAGTGGACTTCAGGCGGAGCTCCCTCACCATACTCAGCAGCACTGTATCAGCAGTAGAGTCCTTCAAGTTCCTGGGCTCCACTATCTCCCAGGACCTGAAGTGGACGTCCAACATCAGCTCCATCATCAAAAGCCACAGCAGAGGATGCACTTCCTGCCGCAGCTCAGTTAGTTCGACCTGCCCCAGGAGCTGCTGATACAGTTCTACAGAGGAATCATCGAGTCTGTTCTCTGTTCTTCCATCACTGTCTGGTTTGGCTCGGCAACCAAACAGGAATGGAACAGACTTCATTGCACAGTCAGGACTGCAGAAAGAACCACTGGTGCCAGCCTGCCCTCCATGGAGGACCTGTACACCTCATGAGTCAGAAAAAGGGCAGAGAAGATTTCTGCAAAGCCTGCACATCTTGGACACAAACAGTTTGAACTCTTTTCCTCTGGATGGCACTACGGGTCACTGTACGCCAAAACAACTAGACACAAAAATAAAATCCCCAATAAAAAGATTGTCACTTTTGTGTTACCATCCTGAATGGATATGTCCAGCTAGGCTACTGTTTTCAAGTTGTTTCTCTGTGTACATTTAGAAACACATTGATTTCTACATTTCTGAATGTGTACATTTAGAAAGACTTAGTAAAACAGGGTTGTCCAGTGCTAAATTATACAGAGTTAAATGAAATAACTAGTTTGTGGATACATTCCTGCAAATTGCCTAAGTACTGCAGTGGCAGTGTCTCTAAATCTACTTATTACTTGTATAAGTCAGTCCTACTCTGGCCAGCAGCAGAAGTATGTTTCTCCTCAGCTCGTGTTTGCTTACCTAGCATGTTTCTACAATAAGGTGTCTTTTTGAGGCAATGGAAATGATTTGGTACATCTGGTACAAGGTTTGTTTGTTCTGCTATCTCTAAAAGAGCATTTTTGTGCAATTTGTGTTTATGATGACAGCAGTTAGACAAAGTCTAGCAAGTGAAAGTTGACAGGTTTGATCCTCATTAAGCGACCGTGTCCTGTCAGCGTGTGTCTCACTGAAATGTCCTTGTACATGACGCTTAACCAGTATTAGCTCTAAAACCAGCAGTGTATATCCTTACAGATCAAAGGACATTAAAATATAAGTAAAACTGGCATATGTAGTTCAAAAAGGCCTTTGATTTACAAAAAAAGAGGCCTAAGTACTTGAACAGTGATCTGTCACATGGTCACTTTTCGCCTGCACTTTCTTCTCCAAACTCCCTTGCCCCTCTGTTCTTTCTCAAATCATCTTTCTGTCTCACCATCTAACCTCCTCTGTTGCAGGAGGCGAGAGTCTCCACTTGGCCCAGTTGCTGGAGTTGTGGAAGGAGAAGAATGCAGGCCACTGCTCCCGTCTCATCCTCGTCCTGGACACAGAAAATTCCCTCCCCTGGGTGAAGGAGGTGCGTAGGGTGGAGGGCATCTATATAGCTGTGCAGGGGGCTGAGCTGCCCGCTGCCAGGGTGGACCCAGAGGCTGGTGACATCCCCTTCTTAGGGGACTTCACTTCTGAATGGGTGGAGTTCAACTGCACCCCAAGCAATGACACCCAGTGGTCAGAAAAGGGAAGGACTGTTGCAGCCATTTATGGCATGTCTAAACACTGGAGTGATTACACACTTCACCTGCCAACTGGAAGGGATGTAGCCAAGCACTGGAAGGCCCACTTTCCCAAGGCTACATATCCCATGGTGCACCTGTCCAACTGGTGCTGTGGCCTCAACTTGTTCTGGTTTTGTAGCATGTGTCTGCGCTGCTTCAGGAGGTGTAAATTAGCTTGGTTCCCACCTACTGTATTGGACACTGGTCTGGGCATTAAACTGGTGCATTCATAGGTGACACAGGAAGCAGTAATTTGGATTGTCACAGTTTTTGTTTTATAAGTTGTATTGTACTCAGAATGAGGAAAAACCACAACTTTCACCCCATTAGTAGATCAGTTAAAATTTGTCCTTCAGTCAGAAGGTTTTCCAGGTATAAACTTTTTTGGTATAATATTTAGTTGAGTGAATGCAGAATTTGTATTGGTACCCCTAAATGAGCAAATGAAAAACCAAGTACAATAACCTTTTAAAGTGATCTCAATTACAGTGGGTAAAACTACATGGA